GTGGTGACGGCGGCGGCAGCGGTAGGACGACGACAATGGCGATGGAGGCGGTGGTCGTATCCGGATGGTGGTGTTGGTAGTGATGATAGTAGTGGTGGAGAGTGATTGAGAGAGATCTCATTTTGTGCCTGCGAACATAAACACAGAATTTTTTTTTTTTTGTTCCCCAGTACATAAATTGAATCGGTTTATTCTCGAGAACAAAAAAAAAAAAAAACTGATTTTGTCAAACATGATTTCTTTTTTTTTTTCAAAAATAAAAATTGAAATAAAATTAAGGGTTCACTTTTTTTACAATCAATGTAGATAATTTATCTGCATTGAACCCAAAACGATGTCGTTTTGAGGCAGAAATCAATATATTTTTGTAATTATAACTTTGAGTAAATACCCTTTTTGGTCCTCAGCAAATTTTACGATGCCCGCTTTAGTCCCTAGCAAATAAAAAGGCTATTCGTGGTTCCTAAGAAATTTAAAGCGGACCCATTTTAGTCCTTTTGGGGACTAATGTGGGTATTTTTTGAATTTTTGAGGGACCACGATTTCAACTAAATGGGTCCATTTTGAATTTATTAGGGACCACGAATAGCCTTTTTGTTTGCTAGGGACTAAAGCGGGCATCATGAAATTTGCTGAGGACCGAAAAAGATATTTACTCTATAATTTATTTCAGGGTTACAATAGTTTTTTTCATTATAATTTTTTAATTTTTCAACTCAAAACGACATCATTTTGTGAGCGAATCTACGTTCACCGGAGAAACATTAAAGGATAAAACTAATTCTGAAAAGGTTGTTATGCACACCTTAAATGTTGCAGGGTAAGACATTGAATCAAATTTATCTTTATATATTAAATTAGTAAGTAACTCCTATGATGATAAAATTTTAATATATATTTAAAGCAATTGATGTGAATTGTTGTGATTACTTATTAATTCGTTTAGATATGATATTTATTCTTATTTGAAATTAAAAAACATTCCTTCTAAAAAATAGAAACTTGATTTGAAACAAATAAAAAATAATAGAGAATAAAATAGTGGGAATTGCGCTTTTTATCTATGAAGCCAAGAGTACATTATAAGATTACCTCACACTTATCTCTTACTTGTGTTCCAGATGGCCCAACGTCATAGAGGCCCAAAGGCTCAAGCCCAAATCTCTTGTCCACGTCAGCCCTAATAACCCTCAGTTTCCATACCCACAAGGCGATGACGCTCCCTAGATGAAACACCAAAATGTCTCATCTTGGGATCATAGCCCCCAAAGATACCGCCCCAGTTACTATAAGTGGTAACTGCCCTTTGTCACATGCTGACATCGCCAGGCGCAGAGGGTGCATCACTGCTATCATAGCAGTGTCTGCCACCTTAAGCTAACCCCAAGGAGAGTTGACCCTCTCCTTACCAACCCACACAAGACCAAGTCACCTTCCCCTATAAATACAGCCCTCCACACACAAGGAGGGCATCTTATGTATCGTTATTCTGCCCATTTATATTGAGTCACAAACACACACACACACACACACACACACACACCTGAACCCCTTGTTATATGTTTGCATCATACTTGGAACTGTACCTCCTAGCTTGGTCTCTACCTTTGCTAGAGGTATCACTTATATAGTGACTCCATCCGCAAAGGGAACATAGTGGGCTTTTAGATCCCAGCGGTACATTGGCGCCGTCTGTGGGAAACTATAAACTTCTATTCCCACTCTCCTACCGAAGATCTATAGAAGGCAGTTCTCATCCCTCAACGAAAGATGGTCACACTAGAAGAGCAGAGCAGTTTAGAGCCGTCACCCCAGAAGGTCATGCACAGACAGTCCACTCCAACTCCCCACCGTCCATACACTCAGCTCCAGCTGAACAAGCAGCGGTTGAAGCTCTCCACCTGGTCCTACAATCTATTAGTGCGCAACTGCCAGTAACTAACGCCAGAGTAGCGCTGTCAGATCGCCGCGTAGCCATACACGAAGTCCAAGCAGAGAACTTAGTCCCAACTCAACCCCCACCACCTGGAGTCCGTTTTGGAATGTCGCTATCTACAACAGGCCCGCAAACAATCCCACCCCCCCATGTATCAATGGCTAACCCGAAGCCAACCGATAGCTATGTACAATTATCCCCGTGGACCTTACACCCACAACGTCGGTGCCCCTTATCCTGCACCGCCTTTCGCTGTCGGTTTTTCATTCCATGGTTATGCAGTACCACCACACAACGCAGGTATCCCTCAACCTCAAGGATCATATGTGATCCCACCCCACCCCAACATGGCATCCACCAAGCCCCAGCCTTCTCTTACTCTGTCGAAGCCCCTCAGTTACCCCACCCACCGCCAGACCTACACGCGCGTGACCCGAACTTTCGAGTCACACCAGCTAATACCTCTGGGCGTAACAAACCTTTGACTAATAGCCTACGCTTAACCCCCATACCTCTTGGTTTTAAAGGACCTTACATATGTAGGCGATACCGACCCATTCGAATGGATCCAGAAGTTCGAAGCGGCAATGACCCTTCACGACGAGATTGACCTCCTCATATGCAAGACCTTCCCAACACTTCTGGGCGGGAGAGCATTTACGTGGTACACCACTTTGCCAACTGGGAGTATTGCATCCTGGGATGATTTGGCGGGCAAATTTCAAACCCATTTCGCAACAAGTCGCCCAGTGCCCAAGTCAGTCCACTCTCTTGAGAAAATTCGCTAGCAATTAGGAGAATCCCTCAGGTCCTTTTTAGACCGCTTTGATAAAGAGGCTTTGCAAGTTTAAGGCCTAGATCCTAAAGTGCAGGTGCATATACTCTTATCAGGCCTGCGACAAGGGGCGTTCGCATACGAGCTAGCCCGCCATGGAATAACTGGCCTAGAAGAGGTCAAGAAAAAAGCTCAAGAGTTCATGCGGATTGAAGAGTATAAGGGGAGCAGAGCTGATGACTCTCACAACCGAGAGAAGAAAGTTAATAAAAACAAAGACCAAGCTGATGAGGACAGGAAAAGTCACAAGTCCTCCAGATATGCTAGCCTCCCTTTGGGGCGTGACCCCTCAAGACGCTAGTCACACAGCGTATTGCAAACTGAGTACAAAGAAGAGCGCAAGGTTAACCCACAACGCCAAGAGTCGACTAGGGAAACTGCCGCATACTACAAATTCCACCGCAGCAACGGCCATAACACCGAAGAATGCAGATCTCTCAAATATGAGATTGATGAGCTAATCAAAGGAGGAACCCAAAGAAAATATAATAATTCAACACGTGAAGTAGGTTCAGACAGACGTCGCCCAACGCATAGCAGGTCACCTGAAAAGAGAAGAGCCATCCAATCTGATTACAGGCCCCACCGTGAACGCAACCAGAAAGAAGACTCTCCAAGTGGTCGCATGGTGCAAACCAGCCCAAACAATAGAAGACGGGAAGAAGATGATGAAGACTCGGCTGTCATCAAACATGGTGTAATAAACATGATCTCAGGCGAATTGAGTGGAGGCAGAGAAACAGCTAACGCCAAAAAGAAACATTTGAAGCAGTGTTTGGCGGTATCTGGTAAAGTCATCAGTAAAGCGAAAGTTGGGCAGGGTCCCGCCAAGCTTAAAATCGTGTGGGACAACAGCGATTTAGGCGACGTTCTTCTCGGACACGATGACCCCTTAGTCATTCAAGCCATAATAGCCAATTTTGCTGTAAATCAAGTGTTCATTGATCATGGAAGTTCTGCTGACATCTTTTTTGTACCTTGTTTCAGGACGTTAGGGTGTACGGTCAGTGACCTAACCCCAGTTGTAGGTGAACTATCAGGTTTCAATGCAACAGTCACCAAGCCGCTCGGCATGATAAACTTGCGTTTATCAATGGGAACGCCACCTATTTCAAGGTCATCCGACATCCAATTCTTAGTGCTTGACACCCTGTCAACATACAATGCCATCCTAGGCAGAAGGATGTTCGCCGCCTTCGAGGCGAGCGTATCTCACCCCCACCTGGCAATGAAGTTTGTAGCCAGGGACAACAAAGTCGCAACGGTAAAAGGAGACCAAACGGTAGCCAGGAGCTGTTACAACATATCTTTGAAGCCAGCGTCCAAGGTCACCTTCAGAGATCAACCAGCACTCCAGTAGATAGCAACCCAGGTAATCAAAGAAAGCTTTAGCGGGAATGGGAAGGACCATGACCAATATTTTCTAGTAGAATTTGACGCAAGAGACGACCCCAGGGTGGAACACTCCAGACCCACCCCAGACGGAGCGTTAGAACACGTCATTTTGGGCGATGCTGACCACCAAACAACAACCAGTGGGGCAACCATTAACCCAGAAATGAAAAGCAAATTAATTAAGTTGCTGCGAACCAATAGGGATCTGTTCGCATGGAAACCATCAGACATGCCAGGCATTGACCCAGAAGTATGTTGCCACAGGTTGTCTGTAGACCCCAAAGCAAAGCCCGTCGCTCAGAAAAAGAGAAAGTTTGGCCCTGATTGCCAGAAGGTTATAGATGAGGAAGTGAAGAGGCTCCTTGACGCCGGCTTCATCAGGGAAATCAAGTATACAACTTGGTTGTCCAACCCGGTGTTGGTAAAAAAGCCGAGTGGGGCGTGGAGGATGTGTGTCGATTACACTGACCTGAACATGGTATGCCCCAAGGATGTTTATCCCTTCCCTAGCATCGATCAGTTGGTCGATAACGCATCCGGTTTCAAAATGCTCTCATTTATGGATGCATATTCTGGCTACAATCAAATTCCGTTACTTGAAGAGGACAAAGATAAAACAGCGTTTATCACCCAAAATGCCAATTATTGTTATACCATGATGCCTTTCGGGTTGAAGAATGCCGGTGCCACGTACCAGTGAATGATGAATAAAGTGTTCAAAGACCTGATTGGCGACAGCATTGAAGTTGACATTGATGACATGATCGCCAAGTCACGAACACCTGACACCTATTGCACCTTCAAGGCGTGTTCAAGAGGTTGAGAGAATACAACATGCGACTTAATCCTAGCAAATGCGCTTTTGGTGTGCCAGCTGGTAAATTTCTAGGTTTCATGCTCACCAAGAGAGACATTGAAGTTAGCCTTGACAAATGCAAAGTGGTGATACAAATGCGAAGCCCACAAACAGTCAAGGAGGTTCAGCAGTTAACCGGGCGACTAGTGGCCCTCACTCTTTTTTTAGGGAACTCTGCACACAAATCCCTCCCCTTGTTCAGCCTACTCAAAAAAGGTATTGCCTTTCAGTGGTCCGAGGAGTGTGAGAAAGCCTTCCAGGAGTTCAAAAGAGTCCTGTCTTGTCGACATATCCTCGCCAAGCTAGGCAATGGAGAAACTTTGTACTTATACTTAGTCGTAGGTGCCGAGGCTATAAGCGCAGCTTTGGTTAGAGAATCAAAAGAAGAAGAGCAGCAACCGGTCTACTTCATCAGCAAAGTTTTACAAGGGGTTGAACTTCGTTATCGGCAAGTAGAAAAGTTTTCCCTCACACTTATCTTCACCGCACGAAGGTTAAGATCGTATTTCCAATGCCACCCGATCATCGTCAGGACTAATCAGCTTATCCGACAAGTCTTACACAAGCCGGATCTAGCCAAAAGAATGATGTCTTGGGCGATTGAACTGTCGGAGTACCAAATCAGTTATGAACCCAGAACCGCCATTAAGGCTCAAGCCCTCACAGATTTTATAGCCGAGATGACGCACGCCTCTTACACTGGTAGTCAAATCGCCGAAAACACACAGTCGGTGGTGTGGAAGCTGTATGTCGACAGCTCTACCAACGCCACAGGATCTGGCGCTGGAATGATAATTGAAAACCCGGATGGTGTGGCGATTGAGCATTCCTTGTCCTTTATCTTTAATACCACCAACAATCAGGAGGAATACGAGGCCTTGATAGCCGGTCTAATTCAAGCAAAGGAGTTGGGGGCCCAACATCTCAAAGTCTTCAGTGACTCTCAGTTGGTAACATTTCAAATCTCTGGTGAGTATCAAGCTAAAGAATCACTGATGTGCAAGTACATGGAAAAAGTAAAAGAGATAATGCAGACCTTCGAGACAGTTGAAGTTGAGCACATTAGGCGGATAGAAAATACACGGGCAGACATTCTCGCCAAACTAGCAAGCACCAAAAGCCCAGGTAACAATTGTTCTGTCATCCAACATAATTTTGCTAACCCATGCATCGTCATAAGTGTTACAGACGTAACTGATAGAGCCACCAAAGCTACCTGGATCACACCTATCGCCAACTACCTGTCTGAAGGTACCCTTCAACATGATCAAAAAGAAGCCAAGAAGGTAGTGCGGAGAAGGGCCCATTTTTGCATGATGCATGGGCACTTATATAAAAGAGGGTGCTCAACCCCACTCTTGAAATGTCTAAACCCCAGCGAAGTGGAGTACGTCCTTGAAGAAATCCATGAGGCAATCAATGGCCCCCACATGGCGGCCACTCTCTGGCAAAGAAAGCACTCCGAGCAGGTTTTTATTGGCCAACCATGGAGCAAGACGCCCACGAGCATGTGAAAAAAATGCGAAAAGTGCCAAAGGTTTGCCGACGTACATCAAGCCCCACGAGAAGAACTGACATCGATAACATCACCCTGGCCTTTTTACAAATGGGGGATGGACATCCTAGGCCCCTTTCCCGAGGTGGCAGGCCGAGTCCAATGGTTGATCGTCGCCATTGACTACTTCACCAAATGGGTGGAGGCGGAACCAGCTGCTACCATTACCTCTCAAAGGGTGAGGAAGTTCTTCTGGAGAAATATCATTTACCGTTTCGACATCCCAGGAGAGGTTATAACGGACAACGGCACCCAATTTACATAAGCCAAATTCTGGGAGCTAATGAAGGATCTGCAGATTCGACACCACTTCGCCGCAGTGGAACACCCCCAGTCCAACGGACTAGTGGAATCAGCCAACAAAATGCTAGCTAAGGGAATCAAGAAGAAACTGGAGTCACATAAAGGGGCGTGGATAGAAAATCTAGAGAATATCCTGTGGGGATATCGGACAACCGCTCACTCTAGTACCAGATAAACTCCTTTCAGATTAACTTACGTCACGGAGGCTATGATTCCTTTCGAAATCGGGGAGCCCTCCTGGAGGAAAAACCATGTGACCGAGGTGACCAATAGTCAGAAGCTCAATGAAGCACTAGATCTCCTAGATGAGCTCCGAGAACAAGCAGCACAATCTAAGCGCCAATCCAAGGAAAAGTCAGCCATACAATACAACAAAAGAGTAATCGTGAGGAAATTTGAAGAAAAAGATATGGTCCTCAAGCGAGCAGACATCGGAAACAAGAACGCCCATGATGGTAAGCTCGCCCCAAACTGGGAAGGGCCCTATCGAATAGCCAACAAGTTGGGATGAGGAGCTTATGCCCTAGAGACATTAGAGGAGAAAGCCATCCCTTGGGCGTGGAACGCTGACAAGCTCAGAAGATATTATAGCTGAACCACAATGTAACCTATATACTGCACTCTTTTCCTTCCCAAGTTTTTGTCCCAATGGGTTTTGCTTGGGAAGGTTTTTAACGAGACAGGTCGCATTTTTAATCAACAGTATCGTGTTGTTTCCAATACTCAATCTCTTATGATTTCCATAATTTTAAGTACGGGACAATTTTCACCCCCACCAAGCGTTGGACTAGGACAATTCTCACCCCCAGCCACCGTACAGTTACGGGACAGTTTTCACCCCCGCCAAGCGTTGGACTGGGACGGTTCTCACCCCCTGCTAGCATACAAGTTACGGGACGATTTTCACCCCCGCCAAGCATTGGATTGGGACGGTTCTCACCCCCAGCCAGCGTACAAGTTACGAGACAGTTTTCACCCCCGCCAAGCGTTGGACTGGGACGGTTCTCACCCCCAGCCAGCGTACAAGTTACGGAATGGTTTTCACCCCCGCCAAGCGTAGGACTGGGACGGTTCTCACCCCCAGCTGCGTACAGTTACGTGACGGTCTTCACCCCCGCCAAACGTTGGGTTGGGACAGTTCTCACCCCAGCCAGCATACAAGTTACGGGACGATTTTCACCCCCGCCAAGCGTTGGACTGGGACGGTTCTCACCCCCAGCCGACGTACAAGTTACAGGATGGTTTTCACCCCCGCCAATCGTTGGACTGAGACGGTGCTCACCCCCAGCCAGCGTACAAGTTACGGGACGATTTTCACCCCCGCCAACCGTTGGACTGGGACGGTGCTCACCCCCAGCAAATGTATAAGTTACGGGACGATTTTCACCCCCGCCAAGCGTTGGACTGGGACGGTTCTCACCCCCAGCCGACGTACAAGTTACGGGACAATTTTCACCCCCGTCCCCCAGCCAGCGTACAGTTACGAGACGATTTTCTCCCCCGCCAAGCGTTGGACTGGGACGGTTCTCACCCCAGCCAGCGTACAAGTTACGGGACGATTTTCACCCCCGCCAACTGTTGGACTAAGACGGTTCTCACCCCCAGCCAGCGTACAAGTTACGGGACGGTTTTCACCCCCGCCAACCGTTGGATTGGGACGGTGCTCACCCCCAGCCAGCGTACAAGTTACGGGACAATTATCACCCCCAGCCAACATCCAAGTTGCAGGATGGTTCTCACCCCTGTCATACGTTAGACTGGAACTGTTCTTGCCCCCAGCCAAAGACCAAGTTAAGGGATGATTCTCACCCCCGCCACGCTTCATTAAGGTCGCCCTTAGTTAATTGAAATTTACCATTACTAACGGACCGTGCAGCAGGTGCGAATAAGAAAGGTTAAAAACAAGGGCGTAGTAAACTTCATTAAAGACAGAAAAATTTCATTACAGATAAAGAAATTCAAGTCAACGGTTGACATACCAACCATAGCAAAAAGAAGAAACTACAAATTTACAAAGTCAAGTTTGGCGGTCTCCCATAGGGCCACCTCTTCTTCAACCAAGAGGCTGGTTCAACCGTGCCAGCAACAACAACACTCCCACTACCACCCTCCATGCTTGGGCAGATAGCGTAACACCAGCAAGCTCCGACGATAAGCCCTGCCCGGTTTCATCGCCAATAGTATGACCCCATCGATTGCGTCGCCAATAGCAAGGCCCTCTGGTGAGTCATCATCTTCATCGGTCTCAGGACCCTCCTCAATCACAACTACTTCTCCATCTGACACCCGCTAAAGTATCCGATTTCCCTCCACCTCATATTCAGGGATGAAACCGGTAATATCAAGATCAGGATGCCGAACGCAGGCTTGTTGGAGCGCGTTGTTAAAAGACTGGTACAGAAGACACGCTAAGGCACCTTCCGGCTCTCTCACCTGCCCATCAGATTTTTTAGAGTCTTCTTGGGCGGCGTGAAGGTTCCCATACACAGAGACCAATTCGACTGATAATGCATCTTTAGCCAATTGGAGACTGTTCTTCTCCGCCTTACACTCGTCTAGTGACTTCAACAAGTCATCCTTCTCAGAAGTCAAGCGCTTAATTTCCTCACCATTCTTCTTCAACGATGCAGTCAGAGACTTGTTGGCAGTTTTTAAGTCATTAACTTCCTTCCCAAGGCGTCCCACTTCAACGGTCAAGCCATCCACCTTACGCCCCATCTCTTTGAGGCGATCGTCCTAGGAAGAGCAACAACTGTCGGCAGCAAGGGCAATTTCTTGGATGCCCAAAATTCGATTAATAACTACTTGCGTACAATTAAGGATTTGCTGGCGGTTGATCTGTTTCGGCACCGCCATATTCAGCACAAGTTTGGGAAAGTTGGAGTCGAGATCCCTTTCAGATAGTGTTAAAACTCTTCCGACTGGGATTACAGCAGGAGAAGGCGTTGCCTGCACACCCGTTGCCGCCAGGAGCCCTTCGTCGTTTGGAGCACTGGTCACCATCATCCCAACATCGCCTGAATCTTCAAAAAAACTGCCCGCGATATAGCAGTCGCCATCTGTCAACTACCTAGACTCAGGCGGCGCGAGGCACAACGTCTTTGCACCCCCAGGCGAGACCAAGGTTTCATCTCTTGGCCTCTTTAACCCTGAACTCTCAAGCCCAAGTGAGATGGATCTGAGAGTAGACTCGCTTGCCGACGAACCCCTCACCCAGTTCGCCGTTTCTTTAATTATGGGCCCAACCGCCCTCTTCTCCAACTCGGCAGCAGGAATATCAGCCGCAGATCGAATCTTCTTCTTTTGGCGATGAACTTCTTTCTTCTTGCCCTTGTCGACATCTTTTCTTTGTGCGGCAGGAACAGGCATGACTGGAGAAACCCCACCACTAGCAGCCCTAACCTTGGCAGCTGCTTCACGTGCGATTCTCAATGCCTCTATTGGTAAACTTTCAACTGCAAGGTAGAAAAGATACAGATGTTAGTAAAGACGATAAATACTTACAACACTGTCACAAATGAGTCTAGTTACCACCACACCTCCATAACACAACACTTTCTTTGTAGGCCACCGTTTGAAGCCCTTTCTAACCTCCACAAACCAGTCAACTACCAGTGTCTCTTCCCGGGACAAAGATTCGTACCCCAACGAATACTGGCTGGCTGGAACCTCATAATGTGCTTTACCCTAACATAGTTTGATCCGACTTTCCCCACTATCTCGGTCAACGAAGAAGGGTAATTCCCCCTCGCCAAGAACTGGCTGTATCCAGAAGAAAGTCCCCCTCCAGTTTTTGTATGAATTAGCATATGTGGAGAATATCGCCCCTAGTTTAGCCCCTGACTTCAGCGAAACCTGGCCAAGCTTTTTCAGCGATGGCGACACCTGAAAGCAATAAAAGAATAACCGTACAGAGCACACCCATCCAAAATATTGGCATATCTTCTCAAATACCCGAACGAACGCCCAGGAATTAAGGTGCAGTTGAGAGGGTGTAACCCGTAGATGGGCTAACACCCCCATCTCAAACTCAGACAAAGGAAACCTCACTTTCTGATCGGTAAAGTGAGTCTTATACACTATAAACTGCCATTGAGAAACTGACCCACAGCGTAGCTTGTCATAGACTCGATCAACATCTCTAACCGCAAAGCTTTGCCATTTCATCTCGTCTTCAGCATTTTCAGTAAAGTCAAAATTGCTTTTAGAATTATAAGCCTCGTCCAAAATATTCGTACTGGTATAACAAGAAGAAGAGGATGCCACCACCTGGTCTACCCAATTCCTCGCCAAAAAGCGTTCATGAGTTTGCACAACCGCCATGAAAGTCAGGAAATTACCCACAAATCAAACCTGGGAGCGACAAACACACAGTCAAACGCCAAACACTTCAACCGAAGTCAACAAGGTCAACAAATCATTAAACCCCGAACCTCCTTATCACCCAACTCCTACTCCCCGAACCACCAACACCCTTTCACCAATAAATTCAATCAAAAACAACTCAAACACAAAGGAACTTACCAGAAGAGTCAGAGGTTTTCGAAGAGCTCGATGTATAGAAGTCTGAATAGCTTAAAGGAGAAGGCCACCACGCAGGCGGTATCGCCCCAAGTCTTCGTAAATGGCATCCCACACGCTATACCTTACGAGTCG